CACATTTCTTGCGTCTATCATTTTGTAACATATTAGTATGGGCGACGTTTGTAGTTTTCGTACATGCGGTATTAGAGGTTTACAATGGTTGTCTATTTGAGCAAATTCATTTCAAATCATTTTCTTGGTCACTAGAGCAATGTACCCAATTGACACCTTTGTATTATTTTTTGAATGATCCAAAAAACATCAATCTATCCTTTTTTTTTAAATAAAAAAAAATTAAATTATTCTGATGACCCTTCCAATTCAATTCAAGTTACCTTTTTTTTTTTTTAAATTTGTATTTTTTTCTAATGTTCTAATAAAACCGCTACCGTTTTATTTCATAAAAAGTAAAGCCTATGTGGTAGTACTCGACTCACACTAACATTAATGTTCCAACCCAACAGATCAATATCGGTACGTCGCAACTTATTGCTGTATGGGATGGTGACGGTTTCGATTGTGAAAAGCTCATAAATAAATTAAAAATAAATAATATAAAAAACCTAAATCATCTCCCATGCCTTGCTTCTTTCGTGAGCTGATTCTTCCCTTTATATAAGTACTGCTCATTTTATGTTCTGACAGTCATTGGCATGAAAAATGGAGAAGCTCAAGAACTCTACAATCTTCACCACCTGCCTTTTTCTCTTCCTCCTTGCCAAACCTTGCTTTTCTAAAGGTTTGATTCAAACAAAATGGTTTCCGCACGCCTTTTCTCTCCGTGCATTCCTGTTTGTTTCTTTCGTTTGATTTGTTCAATCTACCAGAAATCTATCAGTTTTAATGGAGAAAATTGTATTGGGAATCACTCTCCTGGAATAATTTGAATTATGTGGTATGCTCATATAAATTAAGTTTATTAGTTTGCTAATTTTTTTGGTGGTGTGTTTTAGTAGGTGGATCGGATTTGATGGATGCTGAGGTTTATGAGATTGATTATAGAGGTCCGGAAACACACTCATCAGTTCCACCGCCTCATCATTATCATGGGAAGAACCCTAAGCCTTTGATTCACAAAGAAAACGCCATGGCAACCCCAAAACCTGAGAGCATTAAAGGTGCTAAGATGGGAAGAAAGGTAAGAGCTCATGCACTTACATGGATTAGCTCTTTTTTTATTAATTTATTTTAAGTTCTTATTGGGGTTCAGCTCTTTCTTTCTTTTTTTTCTTTTTTCTTTTCAAATTATTCGAGCGATATTTAATTTAATTTAAATTATGAAGAGAGTGAATTCGAATTTGAGTACATAGATAGCACTTTGTTCTAGCGACTAAACTCAATTTTGCAACTCCTTTTAATTTGGATTTAGGCCAACATTAATATTTGGTCACTCTGATTTCACAAGCTCTTTAGAAACTTTTAAAGCTTTTGTTAACTTAATTCGCCTGGTATTTTATGTTTCTAATTATATGTATTATATATAATATGTATATATGTATATATATTTGTTCTGTACTCTTATGTTGTAATTTGCTTTGCAGGTGAAGAAAGTGCATGAATGAAGAAATTCATCTGGACAGTGAGAGTGTTAATTTTGGTTCGCAAATTGGTCCCTTTTAGTATTTTAGATTTCAATATGAACATGTATTAATATAGGCGATGAATATATAGCAATCTTTAATTCGTTACAAATTTTAATTTATCGCCTTTGTGTAAATGAAGGACTCCAAGATCTTATATATGCCCGAACAATGAATATAATTATCGTTGTAACTGTCATTAATTTTATATTTACTTAGGCCTAAGAAATAAACAATTCAATCCATGTAGTTTATCAGTAACATGCAATGGAATAGAATTACTTCACAAATTTAGCAGATGGTTCCGATGAACTTTTCATTGAGACCGTTACACCGTCACCTATAGTTTAAAGATGAAATTGATGAGATATTACTAATTTCTGAAGCAATCTTCGCTGCTTAGTATCACAATCTTACGATAGTTGAATTAGGCAACACATGTCATTGGAGATCATGAATTCAAGAAGGCATAACTCGATCTTGGGGCTAGCGTGACTTAGTTTATATTTCGTTAACCTTGCTAACACTACGTGGCGGTACGAGAGTTTAGGGTTATGGCTTGAGAACGCAAGTGGGATGGATATATCAGATTTTCTTATCATTTCCAGCGCTGGATGAACATTAATTTGCGTACTGGTTTGGTGCATATTGTAGTAGCTAGTGCAATAGATGCATCATGCATGTGGTGAGACACATGTAATGTGGCAGAGTGACTTGGCATTGTTTCTGCATGATAGTAACGCATAATTACTATGATGGACGAGTTGTATGCCGCTTGGGGAACCACACACTTACAGGTACTTCCTCTAAATTTAATGCTTCTCAATTTTCAGGATAATGCTAGTAGATTAAATTTTTAGATCAAATTTGTAAATTAGGTGATTTGTTGTTAATAAGAAATAAGTATGTTAAACAACACTTTAAGTAAAATCCAATCATCAACAACCACATCATATGGTTTACAAAATTGGTCAAATAATTAGTTTCTCTAACATTATCCTTTATTTAAATCATATGATGTGGTTGTTGATAATTGAACTATTATTTAAGTTTTAATTAACGTGCTTATTTTTAATTGGTGACATATCACATGATTTGTAAATTTAGTTTAAAAAATTGGTCTACTAGCATTACTCTTTCCTTAAACTATCTACTTATGGAGAGATTTTTTAGTGTGACCGGACATGTCATTATACAATTGGAGGAAAGTTTTTTTTTTTTTTTTTAGGTATCCCTCAAATTGTATAATAAAATATGACGTACCACCTTATATTTCGGTCACACTAAAAAATTTCTTCTACTTATAAAAGTGGTCCACATTATATTAGATAATTTAATTATATTTTTGCAGAAAAATATGTTTAAACATTCAAAAATAAAAATGATGAATCCTTTGGGCCCTTCACCACCTTTTGATCCATCATTTTAGTAAGCAAGCATTTTTTTATTTATTATTTTTTATGATTTTTATGGAGAACGACTTAAATAAAATAAGTATATTATTATATGGCATTTTGATTTAATAATTTTTATGTGTAAATTTTTTTTTTTTTGGGTGGCTTCGATTTCGTTAAGTTTTACCATTGTCATTAACAAGAGCTATGAGTTGTAAGCTTCGACAATGGAGACTCGTCTCGTCAATAACGTTACCCTCTACTAAATACGTACAAGACTCTTAATATGCATCAAGATTCAAGATGGTCAGTTGACAAAACAAACCCTAACTAATATGCATATACCACAAACACATAACATTACATCAACACCAAAGCTTAAAATTAACACCAATCAACCTACAAACTGATTGGCGCATCAAAACTTCACAACTATATCCACTACCCGGTGACCTGCAAGAACATAGTTCCAACACCAGCAAATCAAGACATGAATCCAGAACCAAAGAAGAAGGCAAGGTAGAGCTCCGTGCCGAAACCAAGTCTTGATTTCACACACCTTTAACTGAATGAGCGACGATTCGCTCTTAGGGTGGGTAGCAGACACAAGAGCTCGGTTATTGTACTCAATTGAAAGCATGATTTTTTACAGCAAATTAGAGTCAATAAGGCCAGGGTGGAGCGGAAAAGGAAGCGACCAAGGATGACGAAAAATTCAGTGCACATTGCAAGAAAAGTGAACAATTGGAGGAAAACCAAAACAGGGGAAGCCGGTTCCCAAATTGAGACAAATCTCAGACCCATAATCACCATACCGTCGAATGGTAATTGGGACAAACCACCATCTTCAGAGAGATGGGCAAAACAATGCTTAAGGGAAAAGAAAGATGGGGATGGAGGCAGAGAAGGAAATGACATGGGCTGTCACGGACCACAGACCCAATCGGAGGCGGCATTTTAGAGCAATTCTATTACGTTTTCTCTGTCAAAGCTGTGAATGGAAAGTTTCTTCTCCTAGTGTTATAATTGACTTACTTGTAGAGGAATGTGTAAGGCATTGAGTCAAGTTGTGCGAAATGAATGTTTTACACCCTTTAATGAAATGAAATCTACTATCGTATCTTTTTCAAAAAGAAATTTTTTTATCAACAAATGAAGGGTAATGCATCAAATTGTGCAAATATGCACAATATGAGCATGGGCTCAACCCCGACGATGTACATATTTCTTAATTTGACTGAAGATTAGTTATTGAATGTTTGTAACTTTCTATTTTTGATACAATTTATTATTTTCCATCTTTATCTTAACTATAATTTTAATTGGTAAAATGTGGGATTGGACTAATCCTAAAATAACAAACATGAGATTTGGAATACTTATGAAACCCACCTCTTGTTAAACTTTAACTTTGCATATTTTGGATTATCTAAAAAAAAAAAAATCTTAGATTAAATAATTACCACTTATTATTACCATCTAATGCTATTATATTTCACTTGTAAGTGGGTAATAGATTTAATTCGCGTAGATAACGAGTTCGATACAAAATTATTATTGTCATTCCATTGTATTTGGCGTAGTCCACCCCATCAAACCTCTAAATATACACATATCGGTGTTTCGATGTAGAAAATGCTTTCTTAAATAAATAAATAAAAATGTCAAACTGATTCTTTAGTTTGGATTTTCCTAAATCAAAACCTCAATTTGGGTGATTTCTTCTTCCTTGAAGATACCCAAATTCTTCATTTATTCGTTACAACTTAACCAAACTGACAATAAGAACATTCTCAATAGCATGGTTACATTTCGACAAAAAAAAAAACCAAAAAAGCATGGTTACATCCGCCAGCCAATAGTGCTTTGCCACGCAAGAAAGTCGACAACACGGCAGTTGGAGATGGTGTACGTGGCAAGAGCCTTAAACCGGCACAAAGTTTATGACCCCAGTAGCTGCCACAGCAGATGAAAACCACCAAACAACGTTGACTGGTGGTGTGACGTGGACGAACGTTGTTACCAATAACGCGGTTGACGCGGTTTGTTGTATAGATACCATCGACTTCGAGACAGCTAGTTTTGTCCATTTTCATTCCGTCGATCCAATTTTAGGGTTTCAAAATTCATTCTCTCTCTGCGATTCGATTTCTGGGGTTTCTGATTTCTCTCTGTGATCAATCATGGCGACCAACAACAGGGAGAGCAATGTCCAGGAGGAATCGAGCCCTCTCCTGAGCAAGCAATTCGAGGAGAACCAGAAGGATGCTGAGAAGCCCGCCAAGGCCTCGCCGGAGAAATCGCCGACGGATGTGGGGAATGTGAATGGAGGTGGTAATGGGTGCGTGTGGACCGCCGATGGGCTGCCGTTGGGGCACGGGAGCGTGATGGGTGAGCCTATGGGTCGGGCTCAGTGGGACTCCAGCATCCTTGCTTGTCTTGGCCGTAATGATGAGTTCTGTAGCAGCGATCTTGAAGTTTGTAAGTTTTTTTCGTTTTTTTATTGTTGATTTTATTGAATTAACAGCTTGGGATTGTGCGGTGTTTGGATGTCTGTTTTATTGTGCCCTCAGTCGCTTGGATTTATTCGATTTTCGATAACAGATTGATTCAATTGCGCTTTTTTTTTTTTTTTTTTTTCTTTTTGTTTTTTTTTTGAAATTATGTTGAATTAGCTAAGGGGTGTGTTGAATTGAGAATTTGAGAGACTTTGGGGGGTGTATTCAATTGGGATTTTGAGGGATTTTAATTCTTTTAATGAATCTAGGGTATTCAATCAGGATTTTAAGTGATTCTTATTCAATTAGAATTTTAAGATAGTTTATTAAAATCTTTAGAAATCCAAGTGTATTCAATTAGGATTTTAAAGAAGTTTATAACATTTCAAGTGTATTTAATTAGAAATTGATTTTAAAGAATTTGAGAAAGTTGAGGAATTAGAGGGAATTGGGGAGATTTCATAGTGTATATTAAGCATCCACAAATCTCACCCCTCCCCATGAGGTTTTGAGGGAATTGAATAAAATTTTTATATAGAATATCTACGATTCAATTAAGCTCCATAAAAATCCATGAATTTATAAATCTATTAAAGTCTCTCAAATTCTCAATTGAATACATCCCCCTAATAGATTTATAAGTCCATTAAATAACTTAAAAATACACGAAATCTCCCCAATTCCCTCTAATTCCTCAACTTTCTTAAATTCTTTAAAATCAATTTCTAATCGAATACAACTGGAATGTTATAAACTTCTTTAAAATCCTAATTGAATACACTTGGATTTCTAAGGATTTTAATAAACTATCTTAAAATTCTAATTGAATACACCTTGAATTTCAAAGAATCACTTAAAATCCTGATTGAATACCCCTAGATTCATTAAAAGAATTAAAATCCCTCAATATCCCAATTGAATACACACCCCCCTAAATTTAAATCTCTTTGTGACAGCTGTTCGATTAATCCTGAGTAGACTATGTATTGCTATATTTGCCGGATTGGATGCATTCTATGATTATATGATAATTGTAGAATTCAAGGATATGTTCTTTGTTGCTTAATAAGAAGAGGGGATTTTGTGAACTTTCTGGAATAGCTATGCATCTTGTTGATTACTGCTGACCCAAGGGGTAGCGCGAACCTGAATGGCCAAAATGTGTTCTTGGATGTACCATTCTGCAATTTGGTATTCGTTCTTGATTGGATCACACTTGGAAATAGCTTTTTGAGTTTACTGCCTTACCCAAGTTGAGGTCTTGGATAATTTTTCATTGATCTTATGTCTTTTACCTCATTTTCCCTTTGATTTTCTGTAATGGATACTCTTACCTTCTTATACAAACGTAGGTTTTGTTGCTTAGCATTATATCAACACTCAAATTCATCTAGTCCCTAAGTTTGAGTGAACATGAGTGGTTAATAAAATAAATTGTTTGTTCATTCTGCTTTTGTATGGGCCGAGGTACTGTGAAGAAACCTGTTAGTTCAGAAATGTTCAACTTATTTTGCCACTGGATATGAAAATTGTGTGCCCGTACGAAACAGTTGGATAAAGTTTTGGCTAATACTTGATAATAAGGGCTTTGGGACTATAAGATCATAGTTTTCATAAATAAACTTTCCCAGTGTTCTTCTCCCACATGCTATTGTCAATTTGCATGCTAACATTGATGTCATTTGGGTAGGTCTTCTTGGAAGTGTGGCTCCTTGTGTGTTGTATGGAAGCAATGCTGAGAGACTTGGATCTGCTCCTGGGACGTTTGCAAATCACTGTTTGCCATACTCTGCTCTTTATCTGATTGGAAACACCTTTTTTGGTTGGAACTGCCTTGCACCGTGGTTTTCATATCCTAGGCGTACTGCGATCCGCCGCAAATTCAACCTAGAGGCAAGTTTTATATTTTCCCCCTCAAAATGCATACGTTATTGTAGTTTAAATTTTGCTTATAATATGTATGTAACTTTTGGAATGCATGTGGTGTTTTTGATCGTTGGACTCTCTTAGTTACCCTTCTTTTGTTCGTGGCTTTACAATGAGTCTAATAATCATAACAGAAAGTACTTTAATTGTCCGACTCAAAGCGTTACATAGTGAGCATGTGTATCATTCTATATATTTTTACCAGAGATTTCAGGAGAGATATTAAATGTGTGTTTTTTATGATTTGTGGTGATGAGCAGGGCAGTTGTGAGGCACTTAATAGGTCTTGTGGGTGCTGTGGTAGCTTTATGGATGATGAGCAACAAAAGGAACAATGTGAGACTGCCTGTGATTTTGCAACACACGTGTTCTGTCATCCATGTGCTCTATGCCAGGAAGGTCGTGAGATCCGTCGCAGGCTGCCACATCCTGGTTTCAATGCTCAGCCAGTTCTGGTTATGATTCCTCCTGTGGAGCAGGCCATGGGCCGTGGAGCTTGAGAATTGAGAGCGTGTCCATCCTGGCCATTGGATGCTCGTACTCTGTTTATACGTAAGTGTGTTTTGATATCTGGAACTGTTGTTAAAGTGCATTAACTTATCGCTGAACCACATCTTTTACTTGGTTTTCGTAATCAAGTTTAAATAAGATAAAGATGAAAGTTATAAACTTTTGTGTATATGTAATACGTAAAATCTGTGGACGTGCTTGTTCGGTGGATTCAGACTATGATTGAAACTTCTTTTTACTGTTTGGTTTCTAAAGGAGGCTATTTTGTTTATGTCCACCTTTTGTGCATATGTAATACGTGGTTTCATCAAAATATTGGTACTCAGGATCTATATACATCCCACAAATTTATAAATTTTCTTTGATCTGCTAGAGCCGAACCCATTTCTTTACACCACTAGGCCTGTGGCTTATTAGATTATTCATCATAGAGATTAGAGGTAACAAATAAAAAGAGCTGTGCAGTTGCAACTCATGTGCTCGAGCAACACGTTCAACTTCATAATCCTGCCTCATCGAAGTTATCTTGAGCGGGAATTCCCGGAACTCCTAGCGTCCAACAGACCAGCTTGAACGGAAATCGCATGACACGCTTCTTCCACTGAGCTACCTGTTGCTGGTACCAAAATGCGGAAAGTCTTGTCCCATCGTGTTGCTCAATATATTCAGTGCCATCCCAACAAAGAGAGCAACACGGAACAGACGGTTGATGGACATTCACAAATCCGGAAGTCGTAAACCGACGTACCGGTGAACGGTTACAACAAACTGAATCAGTGAATCAGTCGAGAGTTTTCCAGCAAGACATAGGAAGGAGCATCAGTTTGGTAGCTTAATCATAATTTTATCTGCTAATAGAGTTGATATAAGAGGGCGGCATGGTTTACCTCGAATAATCGGAGTCCCTTACACCGCCAGAATTGAATGTCTTGCAAACAAAAATCCAAGATTTTTGCTTTTCTAAACAACCTGCGCAGAATGTGACAACAACATGAAACGAAGCGATGTTGAAATATGATTCTCACTGCAGAATCAAACACACACACACTCACACACATATATATATATATTAGAAACTTGCATACCATTCGGTACCATCAAACATTCGAATAATTTCATTTTTAAGTTATTAAACAAGATAAAACATGTAATCTCTCTCTCTCTCTCTCTCTCTCTCTCTCTCTCAGAGCAACATGATGGAAAAACAACAAACCAAACAACCAACAAGAACACCTTTACCCAAAAAAAAAAAAAAAAAAAAAACACCAACAAGAACACATGAATTTATACTGGTTTGGCAATTGGCATTGTGGCCAGCATCCAGTTTGGAGACGATGGAGCAAACGAGGAAACAAATTTTATCGTAGACATTAAGAAAACAACACAGGAGACAGTGGCGGAGCCATCATGGGGTCATTGGTTCTCTTTGACCCCAATAACTTCAAAAACTCCATATATATTTGGTTTTATATTGTATTTGACCTCTATAAACTGCTAAGGCAAACTAAATTAAAATCTCTTCTTCCTACTTCTATTTTCTCCTATCATATTTGTCTTCATTTCTCCCTTCTTATGTGAAATACTTTAGTTGAAAAGCTTTGGTAGTCTTCAACATTACTTTATAGTATCTTGCATCCACCCTCAACAAGTTTCTACAAGTAATTGTAGCTGTTGTATGTTGGCATAAACTTTTGACATATTTTGACAGGAATTGGTAGGTATCTACTAAATGCTTGACGGAATGGCCCAATGAAGCTTTTTGGTTGATATTCCCATTATTTGAAAATCTTGGCTTTGCCATCATTTCTTTCTTTTCTTTAGCAAGTGCGCAGCAACTCCCCTTCTCTTGCTTGACGGCACATCCACTAAGCTGCAAGCTACACCTTCCAAGCTAGCAATGATATTTGAAGCCCAAGCTGATGCTGATGCACTTCAAATTAAAAAGATGCCTCAGTTAGTACTTCTCAGAAGATCTAACAACTTGAAAAATTAATTAACCCAACCATATTCGAAAACGCTTAATAGTACCTTGATTAGAAGAGCCACTGACTTGAGTTGAATAATCTTCACAACATTACTGCACAATGTAAGATTACTGAATTTGGTTCCACCCAGGTCGAAAAATCTCATCGCTGTTAGTACTCATGAACGTCAACTACAGATTTGAAGTACAAAAATATGTTAGAATAACTTTGAATTTTCATTAATTAAACATCACTAGGTTATGGGGAATAAAGCTCTCATGCGCATATCAAGTAATTACTTGAAGTGAAAAGCGTGCGAATAAAAAAGAATACATGACAAGAAATTGTTTTGAAGGGGAAGAAGAAGAATGAATGAAAATCTTACTGTTGATGTTTGGAATAAGAGAAATCTTGGGCCATTCTAAGCCGCTCTCCTTGTTGCATCTCTCGCTTAGAAGGGGACAATGCCAAATGTCTAGCTTCTTCAATTTGGTAAGACATGACATAGCTTCAACTGATGGTAGATACATCAGATTTCGCCAAAGGAGTGAACTGTTTCAGGCAGAGACTTGAGCTTAGGCCAACCCCACAAGCTTAATGTTTTAAGTTGTGATATAACCTGAAAAGCAGGGAATGAATTGAGCTCCTCCGAAAACCCACCAATTTCCAATCTCTTGAGGCGAGTGAGGTTGTCTAAACTTGGAAGAGATTCTAGATTGCCACACATAGAAATGCACAAAGATTCAAGAGATGCGCAACACTCAAATGCATCCAGAGGCATGGAAGTGAGCTGCTGGCAATTCCTCAAGAACAGCTACTGAAGGCGACCTCTCGTCACCCAAGAATAGATGGCCTTCAACCACACAGAAGATTCCAAGTCACTGTGTGGTTGAAGGCCATCTATTACATCCTCATCATTATTAGTGCTTGACTTGTCTGCCTCCCATACAAACCTTAACTTTTGAATCTTTGTCTTCTCTGCTAATCTTGCTTTCTTTGCTTCTTCATAATCTCTCACAAGCTCGAGATTATAAATCGATAGCTTGCCTTTCAAGTTCTCTAAGCCACCTAACTCCTCCACTCCACGACCTCTCTCCTTACCCACAATGAAAAAAGATAATGATCGGAGATTAGCCAATCTCCCCATCCCAACTGGAAATTTCATGCGATCCTGGTTAAAATAAAAATGCCTCAAGTTTACCAGATTTTGAATTTCCTCAGGAAACATTCAGATACCTCAAGTGTTTCAGCTTTCCAATTGAAATCGGCAATTTCTCAAGATCAGTTGCGTATAAATTTAAGACACGCAGACCTTCAAGGCATGATGAGATGTTACCAACAACTTCTCCATTCAAAAACACTGTTCGCAGTTTATGAATACTTCGTCTTGGAATGCTTTGTTGTGCTGAGGTAGAAATTTGCGCCATATGTCGAATCTCATTGGAGTCTCTGTTTTTTTATTTTAATACATACTTTGCAAGATCATGCATAAGATTGTGCATCTTGAATTTGGTAAACACCATTATAGCCCTTTGTAACATCTTCAAAAAAAGAGTTCTCCAATAGAGTGTCAAAATATGTGTCTCCAATCTCTTCCAACTCCAGAAAATGAGAAGGTTGAAGCAATCTCTGAGCCATCTAAAGTTCGATTAAGTCATCCTTTTCAATTTCAAAACCTTTCTCGGACATTGAGCAATATACAAAACATTGTTTCAAGTATGGTGAACTCTACTTATCAAAACTCAACTTCAAAACCGAAAAGTTTCTTTCTTCATCTTCTAGTAAATCCCAAATTGGACTTTCTTGAATTGACCGCCATCCATCACTAGTTTTAGAATACATCATACTTCCCAAAACCTATTGATACACGATTTTGAATCTCTATTAAATGGTAGTAGAGTAAATTCAACAATAATAAGAGGGAAAAATAGCAAACTGTTGAAACTTATTGATGTAAAGATTAGAGTTTTTTTTTTTTTTTTGTAACAAAAAGTTTAGGGTAAAGGAGGTGTGAAATCCCGTCCCCGGATTTCACTATTTAAAATTTCGTATCTTGTATTTTGTATTCACATTTGTAGTTTTGACGCTTTCATATTTACAGTGTATAGATTTTTTTCGATAACTAAAATGACGAAAACATCCTTAATGGACTAAACGGGATTCTTCGTGGAAGTATTTGATCCTTTTGTGATTTTCCAAATTTCTTTACATATTTGGGTAATACTCGCCGATATGAACATGTGAGCGCAAGCGGAATGTAATTTGGAGTTATAACGAAAGAGTTAGAAACGAACAAAATTGAGGGCAAAATGGTCATTTAACCATAAATCTAGAAGGCTCAACAAAAATTTGTGAAGCCACGTGTGTGGCTATGATAGAAAGGAAAGGAGAGAAAAGGGAGAGAAACAGACCAATCAGAGAAGAGAGGAAGGAGGGGAAAGGAGAGACCGAGTTGGGTCGTTTTGACCCGTTTGGGGATTCACGAACCACCATTTTTGACACGACCTTATCTCCTTTATCCGACTTCCATTTTGGGTGATCTTGGTGTCCATGGAAATCTCATGACAAGACCAGCATCTTGGTGTTGTTAGATTTTCCATTTTCTCACTCAGTTTTCCAAGTCGAAGCCACAAAGTGCTGAGGGTTTCTGGCGAGTTTTCTCATTTTCCAATGATTACAACAACGACTACCGTCGATCATCACCACCAATAGACTCCCCTAAACCCCAGGAACAAAGCCCAAGTAGTGGTGGAGGCGTCAGAGCACATATGGAGGTCAAATCGAAGCACACCAATTCCTAACGTTTCCGGCAGTCCAAGGACAATTTCAAGTTTTTCCTGGCCGAATTGGACTTGGGCCTAGGTATGAAAAATACTCTCCTCATTGAGATCTACATGCCTGTAAAATTTTTTAATTTTTGGAAATAGTTGAATTTCCCGGCGAGTAGGGGTGGCTGGCCGCCGCGTGGGTTGAGACCTCACCTGACCATCCTAGGCTAATTTTGATCCTCCGATTCCATATTTGACATCCATTTAGTGAAATTCCAAGGTTTTAATATAGTTTCGTAGTTAACCACCTAGTTGGCCGCCATGGGGTCATTATATGAATTGACGATCCGACAGTTGGATTGTCACCAAACTTTAATGCGATATAGCACGTAATATTTGAGGACATTAAGATTGATGGATTGGGAATTAGACGTATGGATCTTGATGAATTGAAATTCTAAGTTTGTAAAACCAAACATTGACCGCTACTTAATTTTAGTGATTGG